CCCCCCGCCTCCCCCAGTCTCTGTAACTTGATACTCAACTGTTTCATACCATAATTATCAGCTTGGCCCTGGAAGTATTTGAGTTTGAAAATCTATCCATATACATAAGGAAGAGCTTATCATCTGTAAGAGTAACTAATTACTAAACAGATCACTAAAAATGTTGTGAGGATAACTAACAACAAGCTAGACAAAGCCCTATACTAGCAATTTTTTCAGCCTGGTGAAGAGGGTTAGACCAGATCACCCTGTGAACTCTTTTTTCAATCAAGTAATAGATCCTTCTCTCATCCAAGATACTTTTTACGGTTCTTTTAAAGTAAGACAGAGTGTGTCATTCTTCTGCCCAGAGCCCTGACGTGTTTTCCCACTTCATTCAGAGTAAAGGCCCAAATCCTTCCAGTGGTCTACAAGACTTTCATGAGCTGCTTGCTCTTACCTGCTCTGATTTGGTCTGTTATTCTGCCCCTGGTTGACTCAGTTCTAGCTACACCGACTTTGCTGTTCCTTGAGTGTGCCAACCACATTTACTCACGGTTTCTGCACTAGCTCTTTCCTCCATCTAGAAAGCTCCTTCCCCACTATCCCCAAGGCTAAGAAGTCCTTCACCTCCTTCAGATTTTTTGCTCAGATATTACCCTTTCAGTGGGACTACCTGACCACTTCAACTCCAGTGTCCTCAGCCCCACCCACTGCAGCGCTTATCATTTCTATCACGTGATAGAATGTATTGGTGAGATTTATTGTTTATTGTCTGTTTCCTCTCACTGGTACCATGGGAGTAGAGATCTTTGTCTCTTTTGTTCACTGACACATTTAAAGCCTGAAATATTAGAAACTTAATATTTAGAGTGAATCAGAGAGTCCTCCTTCATAAGGACATTGTCTCATTATGTTTTTGTTTTTAAAAAACTCATGAACAAATATATTTTGTCACAGTTTTATCTGTTCCATGGCAACAGATAAGTGCTCTGGTAAGTGCTCTTTGGTGGCTTTTCTGCTCTTTTCCTCATTTTTCTTAAAGCATCTTTGTGTTAATAATGTGGCACATGTTCTTTTAAAATTACTCATCGTTGAACGAGAGCAGTAATTTCTCGGTGGTTTGTGTATATCTGTTATGGAGGGTATGGTGGTGGCAGTGGCTGGCAGAAGGAAGAGAAAAAGTTTTAGGCTAGCGGTTTTGGTTATTCAACATGTCTCTAATTCTGTTACCACGATATAGTATTTCCTGCAAATACGGCTTAGCTGTGATTCTTTTATGGCCCTGTCTCCTCTGCTTCTTTGAACCAAATTCGTCCAAGAGGGTTTCTGCTGCCAGCCCTGCTCACCCCGGTTCCTGAGGTCCTGCCCACCCACCCCCTTGCGAACCAAGCATATAGCTTTTGTATGTCTGAGTTCTCCATCCTCTCGGGAAGTATAGACTTTTGATGGTGCTTTCTGAGATCTGCTGCCACTCTTGTCCCTCTCTGTGCTTTTTTTCCCCTTTTCATTCTTCTTCCTGTGTAACTTCTGCCTGATCCCAGGGACTTTTAAATATTTTTGAAGTCTGCAGATCACACCAGTTTCCTATCTCTGCCTAAAATGGGATTTGTAGGTTTTTAAAAAATTTCCCCATTCTTATTGCTTTTGGTTTCCAGAAGTAGAACATGCTGACTTAGACAGTAATGTCGAAAAGCTCTCAAGACTCTAATGTTTAGCTTCCCATTTCTCTTAACATTAACACTGAATTACACTGTATTGTTTTAAAATTGTAATCACAAACACAGCTAAGTAAAATAATATTCTTCTACATTACATTTTAAAATTCAGTATTACAATTTGGTTAATTTCAATTAGATTATAATTCATAGAATAAAAACTTATACTTCTACTATTGACATTATCATTATCATTAACACTGAGCCCTAGAAGTAATATAAAAGCTGATTGCTTTATATCTTCTCTGAAACTTGAGACTAGCAGCAGCAAACTAATTTAAGTTCAGGTCATCAGATTCTAGTTAAAACTATACACAAATGCAAAATCTTATAGCCAGACAAAGTTTAAGGATGAAGTTCTGATTCCCAAGTTTCTGCCTATAAAAATATAAATTATGTTAGGCGGTTATAAAATTGCAACGTAATGGCATCACAATGCAAGAAGAACTGATCACACATACTAAAATACAAATTAGTGCTGCCACTTACCCGACCATAATCATAGACTCCATCAGTAATTATGTTACTTGATGACAAATAGCCAGTCTGGCTGTATTTCAGAGACAGGTGGTGGTTGAGCAATTTGTTATGAGCTGCCTCACTGAATTTATTTTTTCGACTTACTGATAGATTAATTTCTTCAAGGATATCTAAAGCCCTGTCAATAAAAGCAAAAAAGACATTATTTGCCTTATATAAGCAATCCAACAGTAAGTTCCCATTCATACACCTCACTAAGATCCTGAATGAAGGATTGAGATGGAAAGGTTAAAACCATTCCACCCTTTTAGGTAAACTAATCCTGACAGAATTATGAAGACAAATCAGCCCTTTTTGAGAACATACATGCCATATGGAAACTCATAATCAAACAGTTGAAAAGGACACTTTAGGAAGAAAAAGTTCTTCATTTAAAGCTAAATTAGTATTGGACTCCAATTTTTTCAGCTAACCAGGTGACATATATGAAGAACAAAAATGGCTAGAAACAGGGTAAATCTGTCTGTGGAACCTTGAAACCCTCTTGGCTGAGTTGCTAAAGGCAGCTGACTCACAGGCTGTTGGTAAGGGAACCAACGTGGTGAGGTTGGTTAAAGGTGTCACTGTGGTGGATCAGTTTGTGGGGGAGAAAACAGAGGTGGCACTCATGGCTTGCCCGTTTTAATTTAGCCTTGAAAGCTGAGCGACAAATAGGATTGTGTTTAGCAAAGCAGAGGAAGGTGAAAGAAGCGTTTATCAGAATGAAAAAGTGGAAAATGAAACATTGAAGATGATTTTGTGGAGGTGGCGGGGGAGATCTCTCGGGGGAGGAACAGGGAGGATCCCGCTTCTGCAGGCGGTGCCTTCAGAGGGACTGTGACCCGCAGAGCTTCTGAACGCTCTGCGGCCTGAGAGTGGGCGTGGAGACTCTGCTCGACCTTCCTCGGGCCTGAAGACTGTGTGTCCTTCATCTGAGCCAGACCCTCCAGACCACTCCACTCACCCAAGCCTGCACAACTCAGCAGCCGTGGGCTCATCACTGGCACAGACCATTATGGCCCAGCTGGCATGCCGTCGGACCTCATCATTCTTGGAACGCAGGAGCTCTACCAGCGGCTCCAGCCCACCTGAATTTCTCAACTAGAAATGGAAGCCAAAATTTTACACATTAAGAGTACAGAACATAAACATTCATGCTTTAAAAAAAAAAATCTCATTTTTTGATTGTTGAAAGGGTTTTGACTATGTAAAAACATTTTAGGATGTGTCCATGTTTAGATTTATTAAATTCAGGGGGAAAGAATCAATTGCCAAAACCTTACAGACAGGAGCGCGGTGTTCCGTTCAAAGTCAAGAAGAGGCTGCAGTACAGTTACTGAGGGAGGTCATTGTGAGTTTACGTGGGGTGGGTGCAGGGCAAAGAGCCTGTCCTCTCCCCTCTACAGGCGGGATGTCCCACGTTCATTCACTCTGCTGCTCACCACTGCATGTCCATCTGGCCTGGGGAGGACAGAATCACGGGCCCCTAGAGATGCCCTTGTCCCTGGGTGGGATTTGGTAGATGTGGTTAAGGATCTGGGGATAGGGAGATGGTCCTGGATTATCAGGTTGGCCCAACTTAATTACAGGGGTCCTTACAAGAGGGAGATAAGAACGTGAGAAGCAGAGAAAGGAGACTTGTAGAAACAGAGATTGCAGTAATCTGCTTTGAAGACAGAGGAAGGGGCCACAGCCAATGAATGCAGGTGGATGGTAAAAGCTAGAAAGGGCCCGGAAACAGATTTCCCCCTCAAGTCTCCAGAAGGATCACAGCTCTGTTGATATCCTGACTTTAACCCGTAAGACCCATTTTCAGACTTCTGACCTCCCAAACCATGAGATAATAGATTTTTATTGCTTTAAGCCACTAAGTTGTGGTCATTTGTTTCAGCAGCAATAGGAAACGGACACAGTCTCCAAAGCTAGGCAGGAGTAACCAATGCAGGCTAGTGCCACCTGTGTCACTGGACAGTGCCATGACGTCAGCAGTGTGGACGAAGCAATGCTGAAGCAGTTCACCAGAAGGAGATCCATTTTGTTATCACTCATATTGCTTCAAGGAGTGAAAAAGAGAAGAAAAAGAACAAGAAGAGAATTGGGGAGAACTACATTAATTACTCTATTAAAAGAAGTCACACATGTATAAAATTGCTCCAATCAGGGAAGAAAAAAAGAAGATTCAACAGAGCTCTTGTCTCACTGTTTGAAATGTAATACAGTATTATCTGAGCCCGGAGGACAAAAAAGAATATTCTACAGGTCTCTCTGTAGTATCTGAAGACAGGAGCCCTTGTGAGATACGATCCACTTCCAGTCATGTTCTTCTCAAACACAGGGACTCTAACGGGGATTACACATTAGCACATGTAACCTGGGCAAGCTTTGAAAAGTTTACTTGAAGCATCTGATGCTTAGCAGGCCAAATTCCTGAACATCTTTATATCTGAGTATAAGATAGCAATCTGACTCCACGTGTTCTTTCGGCAAATATCTAATTCCTTTATTAATTTCACCACTCATTCCTCCATTCATGCATTCACTCATTCATTCAACAACTGTTTATTAAGCATATACTGTGTGCCAGGTATAGATCAGTGACATGGACGCAGGGAAGGAAAACCTAGTTTCCTTCCCTAAAGCCTCAGGGAGCTTATGGTCTTTCATACTAATGCAAAACTAATGCAAAACAGAGTTCAAGGGAAGCATGCATAGCGGGTGGTGTGAGCACAGAGCAGGACGTTTGAGTCCACGTTTAAAGACTAAAGAAAGCCGTCATGGAGGACAGGATGGCTGAGCTGGGTGTTGAAGGAGAAACAGGCACTTATCAGGTGAACAAAGGTGAGACTAGCTTTCCAAGCAGAGAAATCAAGGAGGTGTAAATAAGAGAATTTTAGAATTCAAATCGTATGGTATTTCTGGAGTGTAGAGTTACACCTGGGAAGTGAGTTCAGGCTTAGGCAGGTAGGGGTGGATCATTGCAAGCCCTTGCATAGCACACTAAGCAGCTTAGCTGTTCCCATGGGGCAGTGGCACACCCCTGGGGACTTGCAATGATGTGATGAGTGTCATAAATTTGAAAGATCAGTCTGGAGGCAGTTAGGGGAATAGGAGGTGGCAGGGGTAGGGAGGGCCGTAGAGTCAGTTGCAATATTCCAGGAAATGGATGGACTGCTCAGTGAGCCGCATGGTGGAATGACCAACTAACACAGTGTTGTTTATCACTGTGTTGCCGCTGCCTGCTGCAGCGCCTGGCACATGGTAGCTGGTAAAAAAAAATATTTTGTGAGTATCTTACTACCTTAATGGATGAATACAAATGAACTGAGTCAACGGAACAAAGAAGGGGGTAGAAAAAATATCTAAGAGACAGAAGAGATTTGTTAGTTGTCTGAGCAGGCAACACAGTGTGAGGATGGGGGCTCTGGACTCAGAAAGGTGTGTTCGCAGTCCCTGATTTCCAGACCCATCAACTCTGCTTTCATCACATTATTTCTTTAAGCCTCATTTTCCTCCTCTATAAAATAGGGATTGCAAATGTACCTATTTCTTTTCTTTTTGTAAAATTGAAGTGTAGTTGGTTTACATGCTACATAGATTACATGTAGTTGGTTTATTATATTAGTTTCAGGTATACAACATAGTGATTCAATATTTTTATAGATTATACTCCCTTTAAAGTTATTACAAAATAATGGCTATATTTCCCTGTGCTGTGCAGTATGTCCTTGTTGCTTGTTTATTTTATGCCTAGTAGTTTGTACCTCTTACTCCCCTGCCCCTGTCTTGCCCCTCCCTTCTCCCCTCTCCCTGGTAACCACTGGTTTGTTCTCTATATCTGTGAGTCTGTTTGCTTTGTTATATTCATTCGTTTATTTTATTTTTAAAATTCCACATGTAAATGATAACAGTGTTTGTCTTTCTGTATCTGACTTATTTCACTAAGCATAATAACTGCTAGGTTCAACCACATTGTTGCAAATGGCAGAATTTCATTCTGTTTCTGGCTGAGTAATATTCCATTGTGTATAAACACCACATCTTCTTTATCCGTTCATCCATCAGTGGGCACTTAGGTTGCTTCCATGTCTTGGCTATTGTGACTAATGATGCTATGTACATTGAGATGCACGTATCTTTTCGAAGTAGTGACAAACATACCTATTTCGAGTGAGGCTTAAATGCATGTTAAGTGCTTAGCACACTGGCTGTGCATAATAAGTGCTCCATATTGTTATTTTTACTGGGGAGAGAGGAACAGAATCCTAGGCTGTTTGAATGAGTGCCACGCGACACGTAAACAGGAAAAAAGCAAGAGTAAAAGGTACGTTTGTAGGTTTATATCAAGTCTTTATGATATGGGCCAAACGCACTTTTATATGATGGACTTGTAAAAAATACAATTCCATGTTTTAAATTTTTGAAATACAAGAGAAACGGAAGAGTGTGAGTAACCCATATTTATAATTTCAAGCATCATAGTAAAAGGCACACCTGAGTGTCCCCCACTCAGCTTAAGAAATGGTGCATTTCAATGACCTTGAACCCCCGTGTGCTCCTCTTCAAACACATCCACCCCCTTGATCCCCCAAGAGGCAACCAGTTTCTTAAATTTGGGGTCAATAATTCTCTCACTTTTCTTTATAGTTTTATATGTATATGCTTAAACAACATATTGCTTTGCTTTGCATATTTTTGTACATTATATAAATAGAATTCACACATCTGTTTTCTTCTGAACTTGACTTTGCTCAGCATTATGCTGGTTGAGATTCTTCTCTGTTGATGTCTGTAGCTACAGTTCATCCATTTTCACTGATGCAAGATTCTGTTTTATGAATATACCACAAATTTATGTATCCATTCTCTTAACAACTGGACAGTTGGTTTGTTTCCAGCTGTTGAGATGTTATAAACAATGCTTCCTGGTGCACAGAGACAAGAGAGTGTCTTAGGTATATACCTAGTTTTATACCTAGAATTGCCACATTATAGGGTACACTCACCTTCTTTGCTGGGTGATGCTAATTTGTTTTCCAACGTGTTGCACCAATTTTGAGGGACTTAAATGATGGGTAGGTTCAAATACTTGAAAATGTTTCAAATTAATGCACCAGTAGGTACGAACCAGAAGAAAGAGAAAAGGAAAGTGAAGCAAATGCTCACCTCTGTCCGGGCCTCGACATCACACACAGTTGCAGCAACCGTGAGAGCGGCTTTGTTCTGCACGACAGTGTTGGCAGAGTGCAGCGGGCTGAGCAGGGCGTGCATGACGTCATGGCTCTGGATGCTCAGACGCAGGGGCTCCTGCATGGCCATGTTCGTCAGCACCGTGGCGGCGTTGGCTATGGCTCCATCTCGTTTGCTGGACAGGGTGTTGATTAACGCATCGATACCATCACCTTCGGCAGCAGCGCTGGGTCAATGAAGGAGAAACGAATGCTGTTCACCCCTGTTCAGGAAATGATGTTTGGAGCATACAACTAAGCTTATAAAACAAACGAGTGCCTAAAGACAATTTCAGAAAGAAATTAATTTATCTGGGCGATGAACCTGGAATTGAGGCTCTGGGGATTTAAATGGAGTCTGGGGGGTTATGAATGAATATAAATAATCCTTTCCCTA